TGCTCCGCACGCGCTTATCTTCTCTTACACTTCTGCTCAGCTGCAAGCACAAAACGAAAGTGAACCTCGACGAAAAGGCAAATTGTGCAGCTGCGTGATATCGACTTCTGTATGTACAAACTAATTCTAACGGTGCACTTCCAGCGTAAGAAGCGAGCGCCGCTTACAGAAAAATGCGATACCCAGTAGGACCTAGTGACAATAGACATTTTCACTTCGCCCCGTAACACTGACTGTTCCATTTTCGCCCTTCAAAATGTTCGTGATGGGTCTTGCTATTGCAGCGAAGTCCCTAATGAAACATCTGTAGTAGCTTGCGACGCCTAGAAATGATCTGACCTCAAACAGCGTTTTAGGTTCTGGAAACTCCTGTATTGCTTTAACCTTTTGTCGGATCTGTTGTGGCACCTCCGCTGGTGACTATGAATCCCAGAAAGCTCACGCTTTTCCTAAAAAAACGCGATTTCTCGACTGAGACCCTCATGTTTGCTTCGTGCAAACTTTTTAGGACCCAGTCCACATGTTTAATGTGGGATTCTTCATCTTCTGAGAAGATAATTACGTCATCGACATAGACATAGCAACTTGCCAATCTGCTCTCGCAGTATGTCGTCGATGGTTCTTTGAAAAATGCTTGCTGCATTCTTTAGTCCAAAAGGGAGTCTTTTGAACTCGTATTTCCCCCCGTTTACCGAGAAAGAGGTCTTTTCACGGTCGCGTTCAGCGAGTATGATCTGGTGATAACCAGGCTTGAGGTCTAATGTTGAGAAGTATTTGGCTTTGCCCAAATTTCCCAATATCATCGAGATGTTTGGCATAGGGTACTTATCAGGTACCGTTCTTTCGTTAAGTTTACGAAAATCTATTACCAATCTCATTTTTTTATTACCCGCCTCGTCAGTGCCTTTTTTGTCTACTACCCATATTGGGTTGTTGTAGGGTGAGACGGACTTTTGAATTATGTCATTCTTTAGCAGATCTTTGATTTCTTTATTGACGAAATCAGCTGCTCCCATTGGATATGGGTAAAGCTTGGCATAGATGGGTTGCTCATTAGTGGTCCTGATGGTAGCCACGACTGATGTGTTATACGGCAACGCTTCATCTGGGTCTGCAAAAGCCTTTTGTCTGGTCTTTAGCATTTTTAAGAAAGAACTTTTAACTAATGGGGGTGCCTCTTCACAATCTACTTCTGTGAAATTTACGTTGGCACAAGTGTGGAAGGTGATTTTTTCAACTTCCGTACCCCACTTGAGTTGTCCTGGAACTAAGCAAAGTGAGGCTCCTACCTGTGTTAACAGGTCAAGGCATATAATGCCGTCAAATGTTGACAAATCTGGTAAAATAAAGAATGTTGCTTTTGTATTGAACATCGACACAAAGCATTTTTGTGTGATGTTTGTCGTGCCATGGATTGAATGAATTGTGAAATTTATGTCAACCGGGCAAAAGCCTTTTAATCCTTCTTATGGTTTAATGAAATTCTTTGACGCACCCGTATCGATAAGGAACTTCATATCAGTCCTTGCTACTCTTCGTCGGATGAGAGGGACCAGGGACTTACTCCTAAAAAATTGAGCGCATCCAAACCAGCATCGCTGTTGCCACCGTCGTCAATTTGCGACACCGCGCTATCAGCGGCTGTGGCATTTGACTCTGACCCCCCTGGTGCGCCCTGCGCAATGTGGTTTACCCTTTGCTGCTTTCTCTGAGCACTTGTGCGATCAGATGGGGCTGATCTCTTGTTTACATAACGGCTGACGGCATCCTCGATATGGAAGGGTCAACTTCCAAAGGCACTGGCGCTGTCTTGTTATTCTGTTGTCTGCCGCTCTTTTGATCGGCTTGGCTTTGCGTCCTGGCCTGCTTATTGTAGTGTGAGTTTTTCTGGCTATTTGACTGTGGCTCCCCCTGCTGGCTATTCTGCACTTTGGTGCTTGGTCTACGCTCTTTTTCCTCCTGACGTCTAGCGTAGTTAGCCGCAAAGGCATATCTCTCATGGTTAGATTCAACCTCCTGTGCAAGGGCGAGTGCCGAGGGTAAGTCCTTTGGCTTAGCCGCGAAAAGCACGTCTGTGAGATTGCGTTTGAGACCTGATATAAAAACGCGCAATGCGTCATCGCGGAATTTTTCGCATAAGCCTTTAGCCATAATTGGCTCATATGACATATTGTTGGTCAGTAAAGTCAGTTTTTTTTCTACTTCGTCGTAATTCTGAAGTAGCGATAAGCCCCCCTGCCTCAAGGTGCCTAACTCCTGTTCTATTACATGGATGGGTCGTTTGTCACTATACGTGAAATCGAGGCGATTTATAATCGCATCAAAGTTCAATACTGTGCCAAACGAAGCTAGTACTGCATCAGCGGGACCCCTGACCTTGCTTCTGATAATGATAACCGCCTAATAGTGGCGTGAGCTGCCATTATATGGTTTGAAAATTTGATACGCTGCCAGCGCTGCTTGCCGCCACGTTACATAAGATTCTTGTGCTCCGGTAAACTCGGGCAAGCATTTGACGGCGTAAAGTGGCTCGTCGCAGCGTACCTCATTGTTTATTTCAATGGCCACATACGTTTGCACTTCTGGCGTAGTAATGCGCGCAGCCGCTATCTGTTCAGACATTTAGTTAATTCTTTGAATTAACTCTTGTTCCCTGTGTTGATTTGCAGCAGCTTGCTTGAGTTGTTCAGGGGCGCTGGGGAACAACGGGTTCCAGTCTTGGTCTGCGAATTAGGGCTTGAGTGTCACAGTCAGATTCTGAGTCACTTGAACAGTGGCCGGGCGTTCTGTATCGTGAGAATGAAGAGCTCATATGCCTTCGCTACAGATAAACAATTCAATATTTTTATGATTAAGCGTGAGTTCATCTACGCTGGCGTGTCATGTTACGCCAGAGCGTTCAACTACAAAGTAACGTAAAGACAACTAACGAATAGAGTGGGAAGCAAGCCGACAAAATATGCAATTAGCTTTAAATACAAATGACAAATATCTAGCTTATCTATCAATCAAAGCTCTCAATGCCGTATAACTTGTTATTATTATTTTTCTTTATAGATTTATAATTGAGTAATAAGTAAGGCAAAATATAATGTGCTTCTTTTTTCTTTTTAAATTTCTTTTGAATTGACTTGAAAAGAATTAAGGAAAAGCCCACTTACATGATTCTAAGACAACTGCTTAAGGCGAATTTGGCTCCAACGCCGCAGTCTTCGCTGTCCAGATAGCTCCAACGCCGCAGTCTTTGCTGTCCAGATAGCTCAAGTGGCTTCGGTGCACTTCTGCGAATGGGTCTTTACGAGGGTGAAGTTGTTGCACTGTTTCTGCCTGTATTGACGAAGGTCAGCAATCGCGTAATGTTTTTGTTAGAGTGTTTCAGTTATTAATGAACGCTCGCGTGGGTAATTTTCTTTTGTTATTACCACGAGTTGGGCGCCAAATAAGTATTATGCACAACAAATACTATTCTCGGCAGCGTGCCGGAGTAATGAAATAAGTGTAATGAACAACAATTGCTGTTCTCGGCAGCGTGCCGGAGTAATGTTTGTGTATTCTTAAACGTCAAATACAAAACTGAATTGTGGTATAAAATTGAATTGGAATTAAACCTAAAAGTTGTATCCATAAGCTACAAAGCTACAGTCGGCAAGTGTCAGGTTACCGCTGCTGACCATTGTGGTCAGGCCGCTGAACTCATGTGTCAGCGGAATGTGCTTGGTTGGAAATGGGTAAATATAAGTATTGTGCAAGTTTCTTATACAGCGTTATTTTGGTGCAATTCTTAGGTGTTAACTTGTACACACACACATTCATGCGCGTCTTCTTTCAATTCTATCAACAGCATTGCAGTTGCGATTGTATTGTTTTCTGTGCTGCTATTTTAATTGGTATTTTTCTCGTCAAGGCTCAATTATTGGTGTGGCTATTGAGTAGAGGCGGCGGAAAGTAGCGCGGTCAGTTACAAGTTCGAACCCTGCCGAGGAAACTATATTTTTTTTTTTACTGCTGGTGTGGCTGTTGAGTAGAGGCGGCAGCAAATAATGCGGTCAGTTGCAAGTTCAAGCCCTGAAAAGGGAACTTTTTTTTTTTTAATTTATCTTTATTACTATTAAAGCAAACGACCGCGTAGCGCGAGCTGCATTTGGTGTATATAAGAATAAGAGGGTTCAGGATATCCTCTAGTCGGGAGTTCCCGACTAGAACCTCTTACTTTGTTACGGAACTGCTTGTTTCCCAGTTGGCCGCGCCGGCTGTCTCATCGGATTCTCTGGGTGTAGTCCCATCCCTGGCCCGCAGTCCGCACAATCGATAACAACAAAGCTACACGTCTGTAGCAAAACAGACTCACACAACACTATTCAAAAATGAACCACATAATCGATAACCAATATTCGGAACTGCTAACTCATGAACAAAATAAACAGCTGTAACAACTATGAAAATGTAAACAACAAAGGTGAGACACTCAATATAAATTATCAAAAAACGCTATTTATCAACCTTACTCTTCCAGATCGGGCCCCGGTTCCGGACCCAGCGTACCCGCCCTACCATGAGACGATCACCTACACTCGTCTCCCTCATTTTGGCCACTCAATGGCCTACATTAGCCCGTGTCGGCCATCATGCCCACTCTCCCCAACAATATGAATTTAGCCGGACATGCTTTTCTTTCAATATGTGCGTATAATTGTCTGCGTTTTCTTAAAATGTATAACGATTATTATCATCGCTTATAGCATTTATCTTTGCAGCTATTTAGAATCTCATGCAAGTGGATATTTCGTTAACTTCACAGGTGCGTATAATGGTTTGTGTATTCTTATAATTATTGGCATTAATATTTCTTTTATTTCTTTCTAATTTGCACGAGGTCTCCATTCAGGTAAATTAGTATTCATGCACGTGAACATTTCTTCTCCAGGTGCGTATTAATGTTGCATATACTTATACTTATGGACAAGGTGTATTAATTTCTAATTTTTTTCTTATCTTATAGAATTTATTTTTTTATCAAAGAGACAATTTAGCGGCAATCGTTGCGCCGATTTAGGAACAATGTGCCCACACAAATACTTAAAGCTGGGTATGTCACGATAATCAGTCGTGCAACAGGTAGGTGATATAGATCTGTATTAAATCGCTTAATTCTACCTTACCCTACGTAAAGAGCTCTCTGGGGGTGGTAAGGGGCGATATAAATGGGTAATTCCAATTAGGTAAGTATGTGAGCATAGTTCGCGCAAGTGTTAATTTTAAATTTTTATATTTTACAGGCGCAGATGCATCACCTTTGGAGTTTCCCTCACCGTTTGCACTCTAAAGTGAAGCTCGGCGTAAGTGCCTATGTATGTATAGATATAAATTATAAACACAAAAAAAGTTTTAAGTCTCGTTTTAATTTTATATGTATATTTGGTGACTCGAACAGTTTAATTTCCATATGTTTATTAAATTGCAAAAAAAAAACAAAACCAAACCGAAAATTTTATTTGGTCGCCGGCTGAAATTGCCAGATGGGAAAAAATTCGAATCTTTTGAGCCGATATGCAAGATAAAAATTTTAAGCTCACTTCGAGCTGGCACGCCCGCCGTTAACCGCTGATCAAATCGAACTACCCGTACATTTGGGCAGCAACATCATCGGTGCGGAATTTCGGGACACGCATACATTTGCGAGGCGGGCACCGTTTCTGCCCATCTGCACAGCTGCATTTTTTTTGGGTCAATGGCCCAAATGAAGGCCAAGGGCATATCCAAGGGCATGCGATCCACTCTCCTCATAGTCTCTTTAAGAGCGAACCGGGCGGCCAATAGCAATCGTCGCTTTTGGCGCCGTGGATCGCAAGTCTGGCGTTGCCACCCTTCAAAAATTTGGGCTCCGCCGTGGGCCTAGCTTCACCCCGCATACTCTGACCATATGACAAAAAGATATCGGCGTGGCCGATAATATCGTACGCAACCAACTAAGTAAACCCTCGGTGCTGCCGATAACGTCGAATGCAACATCACCACGCAGATTATTGTAACGACATGAATGACCGTTACAAGGAATCTGCGTGCGCATTTCATGGATTGACCCAGCCGACTAATAACGATGCCCAACGCAGGCCACACCAACGACAAGTAATCTATATTTTCGGCGCTGACCCAAAAAAAAAAAGAAAAGGGGGACGGGCTCTGCCGACGCCATTGCCTGGCAGGGAGGTAAGCAAATTACGATTATGTTCGTATATCTCCCATTCCCGATGATCCTGACCCAGGTAGGTTCTGATTGCAGACAGCACTGTGCGGTTCACGCGTTCGGCGGCGTTGCTCTGAGGCGAATACACTGGTGTGCGCAGGTGAGTAATGCCAAACGCCTCGACCATCGCATCGAACCACTTCGATACGAATTGTCGTCCATTATCCAAATGGATAACTTCCGGCACGCCAAATTTGAAGAACACCTCAGGCACTAAGAAGTTCACGACATCCGCCGCGGTGGCTTCCCTCATGGCCTTCAGGAAGGTAAATTTCGAGAAGTGGTCTACGACGACGAATATCCACGCATGCCCTCATTTCGACCGTGGATACTTCCCCAAAAAGTCGATATAAATCTTCTGGAAGGGGCGGTCGGTGCGCACTTCTTCCCCAATTCCTACCTGCATCTGGTAGTTTTGAGCCTTGGTCTCCTTACACGTATCGCATTTCCGCACATAGTCCCTGACTTGTATGGCCATGTTGGCCAGCGCGTGCAGCGTCTTCCTCATGCCTCCATGAGCTGACGTCTCGTCCGCTTGTTGGATGAGTCCTGGAGTCAGCGACTCCGGCACCCAGAGCTTCCAACTTGTGCCTTCGACCTCATCCTCCAAGCTCTCTTGCACTGTCCTCTTGAACAGAGGTCCGTCCTGCACTCTAAGATCCGGCAACTTCCCTTGTTGGCTCATCACCTCTTTTATCAGCTCTCGATATTCGGTGCTCTCGAACTCCGGGGTCTGAAATCCCAACAGATCCTCCGGGGTCAGTTCGACCTCTTCCACGCTTCGGGACAATCTGTCTGCGACGACGTTGTCGGCTCCCTTGCGGTACTGCATGGAGAAAGGGAACGCTTGCAGTTCTAGGGACCACCTGGCTAATCTCCCGCTCAAGTCTTTGAGACTCATAAGCCACTGCAGGCTCGCATGATCGGTGATTACCGTGAACGGCATCATCTCCACGTACGGCCGGAATCGATGTACGGCCAGTTTGGCGGCTAGGCATTTCTTCTCGGTCACCGAATAGTTGATCTGGTGATTGTTGAGTTTGGCCGAGAAGAATGCGATCGGCCCTTCCTGTTGCTCGTCGTCTAGCTGGAACAACACGGCTCCTACTCCGTAGTGAGATGCGTCGCATTGGATGAAGAATGGTCTTCGAAAATCCACGTGAACTAACACCGGGGCTGTGGTGAGACACAAATCTACCCGTTCTCTTCTTAAGGGCATCAGTCAACGGTACCGAGATCTCGGCGAAGTTCTTTATGAATCGGCGATACCACCCCGCCGTACCTAAGAAGCTTCGTAGTTCCTTGACCGTCCTCGGATTCGGGATGTTCCGGATCGCTTCTACTCTTCCCGGATCCATGCGCAGCGTCCCGCCGCTTATGATGAAACCCAGGTAGTTTAGGTTGCGGAAGCAGAATTTTGACTTCGCCATGCCTATGGTGAGGTTCGCGTTCCTCAGACTCTCGGCCACCAATTCCAAGTATTTTAGGTGCGTTGGAAAATCTGCCGATATTATCAGCAAATCGTCTAGGTATACGAACACGTTGGACCTCAGATTCGCCGGGATTACCTTGTCCATGAGCCTGCAAAGTTGTTGAGCGGCGTTGCAGAGCCCGAATGGCATGTGGCGGAACTGGTACAGCGGCCTCCCTGGTACAGTAAACGCCGTATACGCCCTGCTCTTCTCCTCCATCTCGATTTGCCAGAACGCGAACTTAAGGTCGACGCTAGAGATAAAATGAGTCTCGTCGATTCGCGATAGGATGCCCTCGATGCATGGAAGCGGGAAGGCGTCTTTTATCGTCACACTGTTTAACCTGTTCTTCCCAGGCCTCATCACCACCGTCGTCCGGTTCACTCTCCTCGATGATGCCTAACTTTAGAATTTTATCCACCTCGGCCCACACGATCTCCTGTTTGGCCGGGGACAGCGGATAATGTCTGTCCTTCACGGGTTCTGCCCCCTCGATCAGCTGAATTCGGTGCTGCAGCAGGTGAGTTTTCCCTAGGCCATCCTTCTCAAATTGGAGAAATCTGCGCTTCACGCTTTCCAACTGACTCCTCTGATCGTTGTCCAGGTCCCACATTTCCGGATCCGTCACGCAGTCGTCGTCGTCCCGGTAATAAGCCACCTCTGGGTTCGCTACCGTTACCTCAGATGCCTCTGGTGGTGTTTCGGACTTTCTGGCCGGACCGAGCAGCTCTGGTGCAATCTCGAAGGCTCGCCAGAAGTCGATTCCCAGATATAGTTCCTGTCGCAGGTACGGGCACATGTAAAATACGATATCTTCCTTTCTATTCCCGTATTTCACAGGCAGAACAACGCGACCTAAAATTGGGCGATTGGCACCCGCCGCTGTCCTCACCATCGATTCGTATGGCCGCGCTTCCCATCACAGTTTCTCCACTAACTAACCTTTGCTTATATTATTATTATAATTAGCCTTATCCTGATCCTTATCCCAAATCTCCGTCTCCTTTCCAATGATTATTGGCTTTGGTAGGTACCCCTCTCCTGCTTCCCCGCGGTCACCGTCCCGGAACGCGTCTGTCCCGCCATCACCGCGCTCCCTCTGGGGTTTTCCGGACAGTTTTCACACTGGGAGCAGAAAGTGTCCGGCTTTCCACACCTATAGCAGAATATTTTCCGCTCCTTGGACAGGCAGTCTCTAAAGACGTGATCGAACTGTCTGCAGTTCCAGCATACAAGTCGGGATGAGTTCCTGCCTCGCACGAATGCTTCCTCCAGTTCTCCCGGCGGCGTTTGTGTACGATGTGGTGGTACTTCAACCTCGTGAACTACGGGCCTCGTTTCTTGTGGACAACGCGACGGCTGCAGGTACCCAGTCCGGCTTCTGCGACCCATGTGCCTCTCCACTTCTCGGCACTCTTGGCGCAGCTCATCCACGGTGAGTACGTCCATGGCATAGATGTATTTCGCCAGACTTTCTTTCAAACCACGCTTTATAATCTTCACCAGCTCGCGGTCTCTCAGCGGCTTCTGGAATCGCGCGGCAAGTTGACGCATGTGGTGGATATAATCATCCACCCCTTCGCTGGCCTGTTGCTCTTGTTGTAATAGCTCCTGCATCACATCGTGTTCCGTCTGGTAGCCCCGGAACCTGTCCAAGAGGGCAGGTCGCAGTTGCATCCAGCTGTCGACCCTAGAATGCCGCACGTGCATCCAATACCACGTGTGGGGGCGGCCGGTCAGGAGCAGGTGGAAACCGCGCAGGACCTCCTTCCACGGGCATTGATACTGCCTCTGCAGGAACTCCAGGCGGAACACGAAGTCCTCGACCGAATTCATCGCGTCCTCGCCGTCAAACTTGACGTTCCACCGCTCGAGCTTCATGTACGCCGTTTCTCGTACGTTGGCGTACGCTTCCTCCGGTTGAAAATCATCCGCTCTCCGGTCCTCTACTCGGAAATGGCGGTTATTCGGGTTACGCCAGTTCCTCGACTGAGCATCTGCAACGTAAACTGGGCTGCTGGACGAATACTCCGCCCCTCGTGCGCCTTGTCTATGTGGCTTCGGTGGCACCGGTGGTGGAAATGCCTCGCGCTGGAACACTTCCCGTTCTTTCGGGATGGCGCCTGTTCGTGGTCCCGGCTCGACATGTCTCGGCGGCTTCGGCGCAGTGTTAGTCTCGGAGGTTTGGCTCCCTGGCGGCCTAAGCACATCAATGATGCCCTTCATCATTTCCATGAAGGCAGCTCGCATCTCCTCGCGGATGGACTCGCTGATGCCAGATGGCAGAGCATGCAGATACGTTTGGTGGGCCTGAGCGATCGCCGCGTTTGCCGCCGATTTGAGCACTGAGTCTTTCGGGGCTTTTGGGAACTCCAGGTTCCGTGGAGGTTTATCTTGTTGCGCCAATTCTTTCTCCAAGTCTACCAGGTGACCCTCTTCCGGGATCTGTCTCTCTGGAAATCCCCGGAAATTCATTGGTGTTCGCACCAGCCTTCCAGCTGGGCGCGGCGGTGGCAGAGCCGACGCCCCATCAGCGTCAGAAGCCCAATCAGACACCTGTTCCTCAGCCATACTTATCCCTTCTGAGAACTGTAACCCTGTCTTCTACAAGGCTTACAACCCTTATAAAAAAAACTT